GCCAGCTCATGTTCATACTGTGGTCAATTATTACCCTTAGGTCTTGGTGACAAGTGATAGGGGATTTTCAGTCCTGCTGCCTGATGAGAGGCAGCAGTTCCACAAGCACCCATGACACAAGTTTTGCCTGTGAGCAGCTAGGGGTGCAGGGCCCCAGAACCCCCCTGGACCCATCTCCTTAACAGCTGGCAGGCTTTGCGGCTGCAGCAGGGCCTAGCAGGCAGGCCTCCAGTGGTTTCCCCCCACTCTGCCCCAAGACAGACACAGCTGCACATGACACGAGTTTTGCCTGCCTGTGGCCAGAAGGGGCAGGGCCCCCAAACGAGGTGCAGGGCCCCCAAACCCAGAACCCCTGCACCTATCTCGTTGACAGCTGGCAGGCTTCATGGCCTCAGCAAGGGCTTAGCAGGCCTGCAGCTTTCACCCTGCTGCGCCTTAACACAAACAGTGTCACCCGTGTCACGAGTTTTGCTTGTCCGCAGCTGGAGGTGCAGTTTCCCCAAACCCCCACACCCATCTCCTTCGAACTTAGCAGGCTTTGTGGCCTCCACAGGGGCTAGCATGCCTGCAGTTTTGACCCCGCTGTGGCTTAACACATACACATGACATGAGTTTCTCTCTTAAGACTTTGGGGTGCAGTTTTTCTGAACCCCCTGCACCTATCTTCTTGAAACTTGGCACGCATCATGCCCTCAGAAGGGACTACCATTCCTACAAGATCCATCCAAGACTGGCCAGAAATTACAAAGTTATAGCCTGTTTCGACCCTCCCCGTTACATCCTACGGGCGAAACGGCGAAACAGAATGAAACGGAACAGCCGTGTCGATTCGAAACAAAAGTTGAAATGAAACACTGTTCTGTCAAAATGGAATGCTTCCATTTCGCACAGCCCTACTGTGCATGTACATGCCTGAACACCCTCCTCCTGCTCTCTCCCCGACCCCTGCAGGCTGGAACTTTGCCAGCTTCCAGGAAGCTCGCTGCAAAACTGCAAAGTCTGCAGGTTTCTCCAGTAAAATGAGAAATCCGTGTTTGCCTCTGGTAAAAGGTAAAATCCACAGTTTGCTCCATTTTTCTGTGGGAAACAGAAAACACAGATCCCTGTAGCAAGGAAATACTACCAAATTTGTCCCGAAAAGTCTGTTTTTGCTTAATGGCGTAAACATGGGTATAATCACTTGCATCACATAGTAAAGTTACCATGTTAAATTCTTAAAGGTTAATGTTCAGAAAGCAGTCTATATGAATTTGCAGAGCTCAGATCCATTCTCAGATTAAGCACTAGTATTCCACGGGGATTACACATGCACAAACCTTGCTTCCTGCTCTCCTGCCAATGACCATGCCCATTAAGGCCGGGGTTACCAACTGTCCATAAATTTGCAGACAGTAAGATTCAGAGTTAGAATCAGTCAGAAGCACCATTAGTGAAGAAGATGCAGTGTGATAAGTTGCCCTTGCCCACAGACTCGCTGGTAAAACCATCCTTTAGCAAAAGAGAAGGCGGTTCAAGCAGCTCTGAATCAGATTTGCCCCAATCTGATTCTGAAATGGAACTAATAAGCAGTGCAAGCGATTCTACAGGTAGTGACAGTGAAACTGGAGGTGCCGCAATGACCTCAGTGCAAGAGATTTAAACTCTGTTGAAGTAGGTGAGTGGACAACCACTGCACATCATGCACAGTTCTTTGGGTGTGCTTAAATTAGCGTGCCAACAGTTTTCAGTGCCTTCGGTTTCTTTCCCCTTAAATTTAAACAAACAGCATAAGGGAATTACATACTATTGTTTATTGTCTTTACATATTCACAAGTATTCCAATAAAAATAAATTTCTTTCCACATGAAGCTTTGAATACAACATTTAAACCACATTAAGTGTGCTACATTTAATTTTTTTCCTACTCAAATATTTCAGTTCAAATACTTGTGGCTATTGGGACATAAAATTAACATGGGGTACTTTTTTAGTTTGTTTACTAAACACAAGTCAAATAAACATGCTAAATCAGATCATGCTCTATTCAGGGCATTGGAAAATTTTTCAATTCAAAATTTTATGAAAAATCCACATCTCTAAAAAGCATTGAAATCTTAACCTCTGGAAACGCATTTACTGTTTGTGGTAGGATGGATTCTTTGAATGTGATTTTAAAAAGTGGGATTTCGGAACTTTTCAAAAGTGACGTAAACTCCAAGGTTTAGTTAGATAGCAACATAAAGCCCACGGTAAGCTGTCACCTAACCATGCAGATGCCTGAACCACCAAAACAACCCCACAAGTCTCTACTGAAAAGGTAAAAGGGGAAAAAAAAAACTCAACCAAATGCCTAAATTTTCTGCTTATAAATGTTCAAAGAACCACTGAAGTCTTGTCAACACCAAAAAACTTAGCGCCTCCCTCACGTATAAAGTAGCAGGATTCACAAACGGCATTTCTACAGGTATCTCACATGGGAGAACCAGTCTAATAGGTGTGCTCAATGCATGCCCAACCAACCCCTTTGCAAGAGACAGGAGCAGGTAGACGGATGAAGGAAGAGAGAAATGCACTTAGATGACTACCCCAACTGTCACACTGAGACATCTAGATTTCTTTTCCTAGCTCAACATTTTCAAGGATTGGATTTTATAGAAAAAAACAAAAACAACCTCTCATGCCAAACCTACACAATGGCCTGGTGGTTAAGGTACGCAGAGTGGAAAACTTGTATCCAAGGTCCTATTCCAATCCAGGCAGAGGTGGAATTTGAATACAGGTTTCCCACATCCAAGTGCTGTGTTCAAGCTAAGGGGGGG